ACTTTTAAAGAGATGAGAGTTGCTACTTCCAGTGTTCTTTATCCCTTGAAGTAGATCCCCCTTTACATCTGGTGTCATTTCCTTCTGCCTGGAGGGCTTCCTTTCACATTCTTTGGGGTGCAAGTCTGACGATGAATTCTTTCAGCTTTGGTGTGTCTGGAAGAGTCTTTATTTCGCATTCCTTTTTAAGATATATATTTCTGGGAAAGTATATTTTTGCTGGAATGGCAGGATTTTCTTTTCTTTTCTTTTCTTTTTAACACCTTGAAGAGTTGCTCCCCTGTCGTACTGTTTGCATTATTTCCAGTAAGAAATCTGCTGTCTTGGGGTGCCTGGGAGGCACAGTCGGTTAAGTATCTGACTCTTGGTTCCAGCTCAGGTGACAGTTCAGGAGATTGAGCCCCGCATCAGGCTGCATGCTGGCAGCATAGAGACTGCTTGGGATTCTCGTTCTCCCTGCCCCCCTCTGCCCCTTCCCTGCTCGTGCCTGCTCTCTCTCTCTCTCAAAATGAACAAATAAACTTAAAAAAAAAAGTAATCTGCTGTCTCATCTTTGTCCTTCCATGTGTGAGGCCTTTTCCACTGGCCGTGGTGGGCATTTTCTCTTCATACTGCCATGCTTTGGTGTGGTTTTCCGCACATTTCTTGTGCTTGGCCTTCATCAGGATTCTTAGATCTGTGTGTTTATAGATTTTATAAAATTTGTCACATTTTTATCTGTTTTCTGTACCACCTTCTCTCTTATCCTTCATGAACCCAGTTATATGTGTGTCGGACTGACAGATTTGTCTGACAGCTCAGTGATTTGCTGGGTTTTCTTTTTTACCAATCTCTGTGTGTGTTTCATTTTGTCTTTTTTTGGGGGGGGTGGGGGGTGAGGGGCAGAAAAGGAGAGAAAGAATCCCAAGCAGGCTCCACGCTGAGTGTGGAGCCTGACACGGGGCTCTAACTCACAACCATGAGCTCATGACCTGAGCTAAAATCAAGAGTTAGACACTCAATCAACTGACTGAGCCACCTAGGCCCCCCATTCTCTGTGTTTCATTTTGCATAGTTCCTGTTATTGTGTCTTTAAGTTCACTGATCTTTCTTCTATTCTAGATCTTTCTATTCTGAGGTTGGTACCATCCAGTGTAGTTCATCTACCAGATGCACCCTTAGTCTCTAGAAGGGTATACCTAAACACTTCATGCCTTTGTGTGAGCGTTAGGCATGTTCCCTGACCCTTCCAGGCAGTTCTCACCCAGTCTTGAGCAGAATGTGTGCCACTGATGTTCAGGGGACCCTCTGCGTGCCATCGCACGGACCCTGGCTGCCCTGTTTCCTGTGCTCTCCATTCAGGGAGTCTGCAGGCTCTGCCTGGGTTCCTTCTTCCCTCACCGTGGCCTGGATGCCTGGGCGGACCCCGGGGGCACAGATGGGCTCACCTCATGTGTCTCCTGCCTCTCAGAAACCACTGTCCTTCCTTGCTTGATGTCCTGGCTCTTGGAGGCTGGTGTTTGATGTATTTTGTCTGGTTTATGATTTTAGGAGTGGGGGTAAGTCCAGCAGCTGTACTCCAGCCCACACAGAAGCAAAAGCCTGAATTTATTTTTAAATCACAGTAAAACAGAAAGCCCACTGTTGAACACTGGTCCCTTCTCTGTGTCACCCTCAGAGAGAGATGCTTTTGCAATCTAGACCTGATTGTGCACCTGCTCAGCCAAGCCAGCTGGGTGTTTGGGACTGGCTTGAGTTGGAAGCTCGACTGCCTTGTTCACGTTTTGGTCTGGGTTCCCTGGACAGCAGAGACCAAGGGGAGAATTTAAGGTGAGTACTTGGCAAGTGTGAACTCAGAGTAGCGGGGTAGATTGGGGGGGGGG